TACTATATTACAAAATGTGTTCAATATCTTCAAATGGGACACAGTGGGTTTGAGTGAAGTCCGATGAAAAGGAGAAAACCAGATAATACTATGATTTGGTGACTTTAACACAAATATTGGAAGCAAACAAGACGAAAGAGAATCAGTATCAAGCCAATAGGTAAGTACTATAGTTTATTTTTTAATAACTAGTTTCCATGAATCAAACCCACCAAATTTTAATCGCTTGAACCCCTTACAGAGTGACCCAACACTTTCATTGGCCTCAGTCGTACACACATACCGAATTTTCACTAACTTCTTCAAGAAAACCCAGTTCAGGCTGGTTTCCGCTCTGGGTTCGGTACCAACGATCTCGTTCAGTGTCTCAAAACTTTCATAGTGAGGAAAACCACCTATTTAAAATATTATTTCTTAAAATCTTAACTTTTTAAAAAAACGTTTACTGAATAAAAGTAAATGTTGCAACCAAGTATGCGCCCTCAAGTTTAGGATTGAACGAGCGCGCCACAGGAAATGAAGGTACCGAAACCGAAGAGGATACAAGAGAATACGCAACTAGACTAGAGAACGAGCTAGACTGGTCCCTTAGAAAACGTGTCGCGTGTCTGTAATTATTCATTATTCAATTTTCATTTTCATTTTGCATTAAAATTGATTGTTCAATCCAATTTGTTATTAGTGTGTGTGTAAGAAGCGTTCACAGGTTAGTTGATTAATTATTATTTTGTTTGTGAGAGTTCAATTTATACAAGTATCATTTTTTCCTTTTTTATGTTTTTTTGTTTGTTTAGAATTTTTTTTATAACATGTGCATTGTTCATATGTATTCAACAAAAATCGTTTCATGCTGTAAACAACACAGATAAAGAAGTAAATTAAAAATCTAAGAAATTATGTGCTGTCTTTTTGTGCTAGAATTTTTGATTTTTGGATTTAGGGCGTGCATTAGGGCCTTGTTGAATTTACTAACATTTTCCTACCGTGACGAGAGAATATCCTAACAAATTAAAATAATCAATCTAGAGATATTGGCTCAAAAACAACTATAGCTGAGTAGCTTCCCGTATGGGACCTCAGTACCTGCTGGGAAACTGGCTAACTAACCAAAAAACTCTTCAGTATTGAATATAGGTAATGTTGATTGAATGTAGTGTGTGTAATTGAAATTTTAGAACAAAGACAAAGGATAATTTAAACTTTTATTGACTTAAATTATTGAATTATTGACTCACAATTATTATTAAAATGACACAGTATGTTTCGATTTTTGAGGAATGTTAGACCGAAGGTTTCTCTGCCGTGCTCTTTCCCCTCGTTAGTTCCAGGATGAGAACGGTACGATTTACTTTAATAATAAAGTAGACGTTTCACAAATTTTTCGTTTCTCTTACATATCACAGGATCCCTTAAATTTCCCAAATATTTGCTATAACGGGCGCATGTCCAGTAAGTAAAATTGAGTAAGTTTCCACAACGTAGGTCCTATTTGTTTTTTATTTCGTTTTTCAGAAGATTTGTTGTTTAAAGGTAATAAAAATTCTCATCGTTCAATCTTACTGAACGAACCCGGGTATGTTATACTACACCGTATATTGTCAACGTTGAAAAAAATCGCCTACAAAAATCTCAGTACCTACTATGGCATATTTGCACGTAAGCTCTAGGTAGGTAGACTATCAATAATTGGTGAATGCCTAACCTTGAAAAAGGTTTACTTCGAGGTTGGGATGAGGGATAAAGAAGTGACGTTTGGAACGAAAACCAATATCCAAAGAAAAATTCAGAAGATGTACACAATAGTTACCTACTAGTTTATTTTTCAATGACCTCGTACGATAAATCAAACTCACCAAATTTTTATCCCTTCAACTCCTTACAGAGTAACCCAAAATTTTTATTAGCCAGATTCGTACACACATTTACAAATTTCTCCAAGAAAACCCACTCGAAAGGCTTGATCTACCCTTATCAGCCATCCACTCGAAAATCCCCTCGATAAACAATGGGTTTTCGGATTTCATGAGGTATTTTTTTGTATCAGTTAACAGACTGGTTTCCGCTTTAGGATCGGTACCAACGATCACCTTCAGTGTCTCAAAACCCTCATAGAAAAGAGTATTGAATACAGCCGTCCTTGGGTATTGGTGTTTGTAGACTTCCAAAAAGCGTTCGACACCGTGGAACTTCCTGCAATCTTGAGATCACTACAAGAAAGTCGAGTTAATCACCAATTTTGCGAAATTATCAAAAACTTATACGGAAACGCAACGAACACCGTAAATCCAAAAAATTGAAATCAAAAGAGGAATCTAACAGGGTGACACTATGTTACCTAAGCTGTTCATCGCAGTTCTCGAACATGCTTTTAAGAAATTGCCTGCGAAAAGTAATAATCATCGATAGGGAAACTCTTAATAATTTCCGCTTTGCAGATGATATTGACCTAATATCAAACAGTGATGACGAAGCTCCAACAACTTCAAAATTCCACGCAAAAAGTGGGCCTAAAGCTGAACTTCTCCGAAAACCAAAATGATGACTAATCTTGTTCCCAGTGAGCAAATACAGATAGGCAATAATAACATAGAAAAAGTGGACAAATACGTATACCTGGGTCATGAGATGCAATTTCACCAGATAACCAAACATGCGAATCGGAGAGAGGCATAATCTTGGGATGGGGAGCATTCGAGAAAATCGGAAATGTGCTTAGGGCATCAGTATCAGCAGAAAAGTTGAGAGTAACACAGAGACGAATGGAAAGATCCATGCTTGGATTGACTTTGAAAGACCGAGTATGGAATAATGAGATCCGCATAAGAACTGAGGTGGATGATATTGTAGAACGTATCGCAAAACAAAAGTGGAAATGGGCAGGCCACGACGCAAGATCCTGAGGACGGGAGATGAACGAAGAAACTCATTGAGTATGGAGACCAAGAGTCCACTAGCGGAACCGAGGCAGACCTGCCACTTGCTGGACAGACGAGCTAAAAAGGATCTCGTGAAAAGAGGCTGTTTGATGATGAGTTTTGTAAATTATACTACCCATAGGCTCAGGTGAAAGGTTTTAGCAATAATTATAATTTGCTTGCGGTCTTATCAATATTTCGTTAATTTTTCTTGTTATCTATGATAAATACATTTATGATGTGTACCCTGGGCCTGGGATAAAAAACATAGTATAGGAAACAGAAAGTGGAAAGTATAGATTAGGTAAATATAAATAAAAATATTGAGTCCATGAGATCAGCATAACCAAACACGAAATTCAGCGTAGAAAATGTTGGAAATGGACATTCAGCAAACTGAAATCAGTATCCAAATCAGCTATTTCAATGTGTTGGAAGAGGAAAGTATTCAACCACAATGTACTTCCGCTGCCTGTAAGAACATATGCAGCGAAGACGTTAATACTTACAGAACAAGATATAGGCATATTACAAATAATATGAAAAAATCAATGCTGGAAATCACCATTCAGGATAAAATATTTCTGAGTCTGGAACTTGATTAAACACATCGCCAGGATGAGTGATAACATGTGGGAGAAGGATGATCATATAGAGTAGTCTCTAAGATCAAGATGCATCCAAAAATAGAAGAAGGAAGTTGTTGGGCAAAAGACAGCGAAGTTTGAAGGAGGCTTTTGTCCAGTAATAGAAAACATGAGTTAAAAATGACAATGATGATAAAGCTGTTTGTGGACCAATCTCCAATGTATTGCCATCAAATGTAGACAAGAACGATGAAACAAATATTATACTTTAAATAATGATGAGAAATTCCTTTTCATGTTCGGCGTTTCCAGACATTTCAATAACGATCTGACTATTTCACAATGATTACACTTGTGGAAAATAAATACCGTAACAATTGTTGTGCTTCAATGCCGAGGAGCAATGCAAACTTTGCAAGAATCCACAAACTATTTTAGAAATGTTTCATGATAGTGAAGAATTCTTGGGGTGAAAGCCTTTGAGGCTCTAAACACCCAAAAGAATAGTTTTCATAAATTCAGCATTAGTTATCTTTTTTGGAGGATATTCAAAGCTGAAATATTTTCTTGATCAGATAGTTCAGCTGCCATAGACAAAAAAATGTTTATTAAAACGCTCATCTAGCCGTTAAAATTCTAGAGAAAAAGACCCTACCTACTTGAGCTATTTATGTTAATGATCCGCCCGAAATCCTTGTTCATCAAGATTTTCTTAGCTCGGATTTTAAAGTGTGTTGATGTGACCTTTTCTAGAAAAAATTAATTAGATATTGAGAAAAAAATCGGTGAATATTTTTTAATTTGTATGTATTATTCAATTTTTCTTTAAACGTGGAATCCAATCCTATTAAATCTTGAATTAGCTTATCTAAACGATAATCAAAAAAGGAAATTGAGAAGGAGTTTGTGCCAGATGAAAATAAATGAATTCCCTTTTTTTTTACTCGAGGTAACTACCTGCTCTGCTCTATATGTTAAGTAAATTAAAAAGACGAATTATGAGAGTTTGAGTGTTGTTACATATTACAAAATCGATTATAAAAAGGAAGAACATACTTATATTTTTACAAATGGAAACAAATTAGCGACATTTAGTTATTGTTGAATGTACTAGTCAAATATCAAACATTCGATGGGTAAATATAGGTATAGATTGCGTTTAAATCCCAGGGATCAAATCACAGTAAGAATTTCCTAATTATCATTAAAATTAATTAAATATTTTGTATTTGCTTATCGATTGCTTATCGACTATTGGTTCCGTATAGAAATGGTGGCAAATTGTCAAGAAAAAGCTATAGGTACCTATTATACCAGTTTAGTTAAATTTGGTTTGAAAAATTGGTATTTCTTGAGAACATTTCAAGTGAGTGAGTCACTTAAATCATAGGTATTATAATTGGACATAATTGTCTGCCATTTATAGGTAGCACAAATTCCCTCAAAGCTTAATTTTTTTCCCATTCCCCAAGTTGGTTTAAACATTACAGTAACTCACCTTTTGTTTTTTTATCTCAAAACAAATTCACTATTATCAGCAGTTTCATCCAAAACATATTAGTTTTTAGTATTTCAGAGAAGTTTGCTTATTTTCACACACACACGTGAGACACATTTTCAAAGTAGGTACTATCGGGTTCCTTTTTGAGGTACCGCCGCCGGCGACAAGTAATTTACAATTTATTTGTCCTTAAGTCCAAACTTAATCTCGTTCTGCCCCCGTTAAACCCCAACCAACCAGATTTATTGTTTGTGTAGTACCGTGTACGCCATCTTTATTTATCAAAAATATTTTGAAGTTGAGTATAAAACTTCCGGGAAACTTTTCCGCCTGAAACTTTTTCTGAGTCGGTTCCTCTGCGTTTCGTGCAGAGTTTGTGTTAAAACTGGCGGCAAAATTTGTCGAGGCGTCGCGACGCTCCGCGTTGGCGTCTATACGATGCGCGGCGGTTTTTGAGGGAGATTTTTCGACATTTATGCGAGTCAATCGTGATTAAACATTACACTTAATTCCTTTGGTTGAAATGTTAAATTAGGTGTTTTTTATGTACTCACTTGTCGATTAAACAGGTGTTTGTGTCATATAGTTTTTGGATTAATTATATCATTCAGGTGGGATTATTTGGACAAGTATGCTGCGTTGCACGGAGAGACTGCTCATAATATAAGGTAATAATTCGCATTGGTATAAAATTATCCGCAGCTAAACTACAATGTCTGCAAAATGCATCAAATCCTCAATTATCCAATTTAAGAAAGTTTTAATGACCTGTAGTTGGTGCAGGGTGCCGGTTAAAATGTAAGCGGTCATATGCATGTCCGGATTAAGCTTTTATGAAGTTTTAAGTGGCCCTCTATAAATTGAATGCCAAAAAATATTTAAGAAAACTATATTCCTGATATAACAAAAGACACTTCACAAAAATACGGACGTCAAAATATCTTTCTGCTTATAACTGAAGTTTAAAAAATATTTCTTGTATAACATCATCAAATTATAATTCCTACAGAAGGTTCCTTTTTATGTAATGAAAAATAAATCCTTGAAAGCATATAACTTACCTACATTAAAATATACTGTCAAGGTTGACACATAATAAAGGAATAACAAAGGTATAAAGTACACAGTCTAAAAGTTTCTATACAACATTCACCCCTGATCGGTTTCATAATCTTTTAAATAGACAGGAAGCTTATTTAGACGTTTTGGTCGGTTCGAGGTATAGTCAGCTATATTTTCTACAACCTCATCGTATAGATTCCTTGATACTGTTACAGGTGAGTCATCAAAATGTCCAGCATCAGAATCATCGTAATTAAATTGTTGAATGGGATCAGGTTCACTACATTGGTCGCTGTCCTGATTATTAGGTTCATTTCTATTGATTCTACATTCAAATCTTCATTCAACGTTTCTTGATGCAGAGCTTGTTTCTTCACCATCAGCTAATTTGATATGAGCATTATCGAATGTAATACCACAAGACTCAAGAGGTTTCAGGATTACCGGATAATACTTTTACCTGTCACGAAACGCGTTACGCAGCAACATCACGACTCCGAAGGAGGAGTGGTGTTGCTGGTAACGCGTTGAGTGACAGGTGAAAGTATTAGGTAATCCTGAAAAATCGAGTGGTATTCAAAAGGTTATAACAACGAACTAAACTTTAATTCTTTATTAATTAATAATTTCATGAATCAAAAATTTAAATTTTTTGTCAAAAAATGTCAAAACACTAGTTACCGTGCAAAAGGATTATCACTTTTTAAGCCTGTCGTATCATATGGGAAGGATTATCACTTATTAATCCTCTCGTGTCATATGGGAATAATGTACAGTGAGTTGTATAATCAGAATTATCTTCTAGAAATTGCACTTCTTCCACGATGGGTTCATACTTGCTTAGCAAGACTCGACCAGGAACAACCAGGTTGATGGAATTGAAGAACCATTTGTAGAACTTCGGGGATGACAGAACATTGTTTCATGCGGTGAATAATTTGTTGCTGTACCTAGCAAACACCTTATTGAATGTAAAGAGTTAACCAGTACCTGCTTCAAAGGTCTTATATCCATGTTTCTTGATTTTAGAGCTAACTAATAGTTTTCTGTGTAATACCATTAGGGAGACCGTTCCCACTTTCTGTTTCCTTGCGGGTCATATTGGAGATGCAAGTTGCAATCCCATGTCGTGTTAAGAATATGTTTTCAGTTCTTCAGACATAAATGATGTCCCTCTATCACTATGCAGGTACGATGGTGTTCCAAAAACAGAAAAAAGTTGAGTTGAGCAATTTATAATGGTCGTAAATGTCATGTCAGGACAAGCAAAGGCAAATGGGAATCTAAAAAATGCATCCACAATAGTCAAAATATAGCGATTTTGGTTATCAGATGGCAATGGAACTTTGAAATCTACATTTATTCTTTCGAAAGGGGCAGTATAGCTTTTATGATGATGATGGTCCCTTGATTTCTATGGAACTTTGGTTTGATTTCAGCATAAACGGGACAGGTGGTTGAAATTCTCTTGATATCTTCTAGTGAGAATGGTAGATTCTTACCAGGATGACAGAGAGAATTATGTAGATTATACAATGTTTGGTCACTAGAAGAAGGTGATATCGCAGAAGATATTCTTGAAAATGTATCTGCCACGATGTTTTGATTTCCAGATCTGTATATACCTGTTACGAGCTTAAAGTAACGTCGGATCAAAAAGTGTCTCGATTTACGGAGTGCTTCAGCAGACAATGAAAACTTATGAATGTACTTGGAATAGTGAGCTAACATCATTTAACTCTCCTGAGCAAAGCAGTATATGTAGGTAGAAGAAACTGCATCAGTGGTTTTAGTCTGTCTATATCTGCTTTAATTGATTTTCGTTCTATTGTATGCCCTAGTATATTAATTTTAGTCATAACAAAGTTGCATTTCTCTTTGTTAAGCATCAGACTATATTTCTTAACAAAATTGTTTGAAATTTGTATCATGGTGTTCTTTTTTCTTAACATAGATGGTTACATCATCAAGAAACGCATGTGTGTCTTCTAAATGTTCTTGTTTGATAATGTTATTCATATTTCTCTGAAAACAAGCAAAGCCATTAGTCACCCCAATAAGAATTCGAGTGAATTGATACAGATTTCTACATACTTCAAAAGCAGTGTATACCTATACGTTCATGCTCTAAAATTGGTATCTGGTGATATGCACTATGAAAATGTATCGAACTGAAGTATTCAAACTGAGAAATTTGCTTGACCATATCTTCCATCCTGGATAATGGGTATACGTCCAAATATGTATTTATATGGTCAATGAGTAGTCTATAACCATCGCTCATGGTTCTCATTACTGGTCACAAGCACCTGGGCTCTCGACGGCGAATTGGGAATTGGTTGGCTCGATTCATTTCTCTTCTAAAAGTCTTTGCACTTCAGCTTCAATAAATTTTAGATCAACTGTGGAGTATACGAGGGATTCAATTTCAATAGGCTTACGATTTTCTGCCAAATATGCAATTAATGAATAGTGGCATCAAACTTCTCACTGAAATAAGAAAAAAGTTAACAGCAACGTAGGTCCGCAAATGCTTATAGTGTTCAAGATACAGGGTGTCAAAACTTGGACAAATCGCTTTTCCAAAATCGGTTTCCCGAATTCTTTAAACTTGTGTAAAAGACTATAGTCTGTAATGAAACAAATGAGGCTTTCATATAATTAACAATATATTCAAAACGAATTTTATAATATGTATCAACCGACTCGCACAGTAATATTAGCCTGACTGTTCAAAAATCCTATTCAATATCATCAGCACATATCGATGACTCCTCCTTACGAAAACCTTTTTTGTGTTTTGTTTTTCTTAGCGTTGAATCATGTTTTCGGTTGATTGAAGCCAAGAAGGGAAAATATTCTTTACCGTCGGCCCTTCCTGACATTTCACGTCTTCGGGAAACTGCCTTCTATGGATATTCTCGGAACTAGATCTTTCTTAGTGAGTGTAGTACGAAGTGCGTTACAATCTGATACTACTATGAATGGTTTTCCAATAAGATAAACTCTAAATTTTTGGAGGAAATTGACCACTGCTAAAGTTTCCAACTCATAGGAATGGTAATTTTGCTCAAGTTCAGTCGTTGCAAGTAGTTGAAGTCCCAGTTGCAATATCGACCGAAGGCAGTAAGACGTCATTAAGGTAAGCCATCACCGAAGTGAATCGCAATGAACCCAAAATCGCATAAATACTTCATTGGAAAACTGCTGGGTCATTTACTAGTCCAAAAGGCATTCTCAAATACTCGTAATGCCCGTCTGGTGTTACGAAGGCTGTTTTGGCAATTGAATCATTGGCAACAGGGATTTGATGATAGCCAGAGACAAGATCCAAGCTTGTAAAAAACTCGCATCCATTCAACCTATCCAATAGGTCATCAATGCGTGGTAAAGGAAATTTTTCTTTGACTGTTTTCCTATTCAATGCGCGATAATCGACGCACATGCGCTCTTCGCCATTTGCGACAGCCAAATCAACCGTCAGATTTAGCTCAACTTTTGAGGTGACGTTAACAAAACCTCCACCAAAACCACATAAACGTACGCTAGCAGGTTTCTCTTGCAGTTTTAGCTTAATTATTTCAGACTTTCTGATAGTATTTACACTGCAACCAGAATCTACATAACCTCGCAAAGCTTGATTATTTATTACGCAATCAATAAAATTCGTATCATTATAAGTTCGGTTTGTACAATCTATAGAGCTTATTTCTACAGTATTATTAAAATGATTACCTTCTTGTTTTGATGACTGCTATCCATCAGTATGTTTCGTCTGAGAGAAACAATATTTATCTTTATGTCCCACGCGGTTACATTTGGTGCAAAACTTTTTTGGCTTTGGACATTTCGAAAATACGTGCCCTTTTTCATGGCAATTGAAGTATTTAACCCCACTTGTATCCCGTTTTGAACTATAATTTCCTTGGTTAGTTTTCAAAACCTTCCGCAAATCTGTCCTGGGCTTATGAGAAGAAGAAACTTTTTCTTCATTTTTATTACTCATTTTGTTTGAGTCTCCAGCTAACGCAAACAAATATCCCTCATAAAGGGCTTCAGGATTCTCGTAGCGTCCGGCCCTGGCAGAATTTTGAATAACCGGGTCGTCACTCGTCAATCCCATCAATAATACAGGAAACACTCTTTTTTTGTGTAATTTCACAAATTCTGTGCAATTCTATCTTCTCAAAGTAATAGGTGGTCATCGATTCTTCAGGAAATTTACGGCGACTTAACATTTTTCTCAAAGTTGTGGCAAAATCAAAATTTTCCACTCTTGCCATGTATAATTATAATTCGGCGGGCTATGGTACCACTTTGCACTTGGCAGATTTGTTTGTTATAACAAAAGGTATCCTTTGACTCAATTAAATTTACCGTAATTATTCCAATGGCGCCCCAGAGGGGGAAAAATGTCACGTCACTTTTTTTTTCAGATTAAGGCCCCGGTTTATTCATCTTCACTTGCTGGTAACTATCTGCAAGATTAATTGACTATTCTTCAATTCTATTGGTTGGCAGATAACTGACTGACCAATGGAATTACAAATAGCGTTTTATCCGTCAGATTGTATACCTGACGGTTTATCAGAAGGTGAATAAACCGGCCCTAAGCAAATTATATTACAGTCAAAAGATACCTTTTGTTGTCACAAACAAACCTGTCGAACAAAAAAATTTGGAAAAGTTATTTTTGAGCTAAAAACCGATTTTTTTCCAAACTTTGACACCCTGTAGATATCTCGAAAACTAAGCATTCGCGGACCCTTATTTCTATTAACTTTTTTCTTATTTTAATGAGTATACCTACTATTTATGCTAGAAGTTTGATCCCACTAATCATTAACACCCTGTATAGAGAAATTGAATAGGCGCAGAGCTAACTTGACTGACCCCCGAAGTTAAATGTTAAATGATCACTCAGTATCTAATATATCAGACTACAACATATTTACAGCTTCTAAGACTTTTTACAGAAATAACAAACAAAAAATAATAATTTTAAACCTGGACCTCCTTGTGATTTCCTATCGTCCTAAATTATTATATCATCTACATGTCTGAAGTATTTTATCAAGTACCTACAATATTATTAATTAATCATACAATTATCTACTTCAATAGTTAAAGTTGTAAAAAACAAAAACAGCACTCACCTATTCAAGTACCTAATTATAAGTACTTTTTTCTTGTCAGTGTTTCATCAAGCATCAAACATGAAGTTACTACTATCATATCTCATAACAATTATTCTGGTATATTTTCAACCCACCGATGCAAAAGTCACAGAAGATTGGGACAGTATTGACAGTAGAACAGTACCCGATTGGTACGACAAAGCAAAAGTAGGCATTTTTGTTCACTGGGGCCTCTTCGCAGTACCTGGCTACGATAGCGAATGGTTCTGGAACGAATGGCGAGCGCAAGGTAAAATAGACGTTTTAGAATTCATCAAGCAAAACTATCCTCCAGGATTTACTTATCAGGAATTTGCTAATCAATTTACTGGGGAATTTTTCAATGCTACTGAATGGGCGAGTTTATTTAAACGTGCCGGAGCTAAGTATGTTGTTCTGACCAGCAAACACCATGATGGTTATACTTTGTGGCCTTCGAAGTATACGTATTCGTTTAATAGTGTTGATATGGGACCTCACAAGGACATAGTGAAAGAAGTAGGCGATGCTGTAAGGGCTGAAGGTCTTAGATACGGTTTATACCATTCTTTATTGGAATGGTTCAATCCCTTATATGTTGCTGATGTAGCCAATGGTGGCGCTACAACCGAGTTTGTAGACAACAAGATTTTTCCAGAAATGGTTGAATTGGTTAACACATATCAACCAGAAATATTTTGGTCGGATGGATCATGGGATATGTCAGATGTTTATTGGAAATCTACCAAATTCCTTGCTTGGCTATTCAATGAGAGTCCTGTCAAAGATACCGTGCTAACCAACGATAGATGGGGCAACAATACTAATTGTCTTCATGGAGATATTCATACGTGTATTGACAGGTACAATCCAGGCGTTTTACAAGCTCACAAATGGGAAAATGCTATGACCATTGACTGGCGATCCTGGGGATATAGAAGGAATTCTAACATAGAAGATTATGCTACAACAAAACAACTTATTGAGCTCCTAATTGAAACTGTTAGCTGTGGAGGAAATATTTTAATTAACGTCGGACCAACAAAAGAAGGCCATATTGACCCATTATATCAAGAACGCTTGGTGAGTTTAGGAGAATGGTTATCCATCAATGGGGAAGCCATTTACGAATCACACCCATGGGTTAAATATCAAAATGATACTTTGACCAGTGGAGTGTGGTTTACACAGAAAAATGGCTTCACTTATGCCTCAGTGCTTGATTGGCCGGAAAATAATGTGTTAAAACTTAGAGCTGTTTCTGAGCTAATTAATTCCAACACTAGAATTTATATTTTGGATGGCAATAGAGAATTAAATTTTACGGGAGATAATGGAATAGTTTCCATTGAAATGCCTGATAGGGCTGGTGTGCGAAGCAATGATGCATGGGTTATTAAAATACAGTAGAATGAATGTTGAGAAATAATAAAACATGTTTTCGTTGGGTTGTTGGATGTTTTTATTCCCTTTGCTGATTTTTCATATGATACAGAACCCAGTGATTATTAAATAATTAACCAATCAGAGAACCTAGTGGAAAGGTGCGCCCTAAAGATTAAAACTAAAACTGGGCCACATAATATAATTGTTCAAGTCGCCCACTGAGAATTAAAACTAATATCAACAAAATTCAATTTGCGCCTGTCATAATATTTTTGCTTCTTCCCCTGACGCGATACCTTTTCTGCCGGAAACGTTTTAGAGCGTCCCAAACGGCTATGTTTAATTTAGGAATTGATTGCGGATCTTCTGTAGAACTCAGAATTTTAATGAAAAATTTCCTTTCGTTCCTTAAACGAAGTTTAATAAGATAGTGTTTTTGTAGAATTTAATTAGACTCTCTAGTTTTCCCAAACTTTAAGGTGTTACATGCTAGAATAATTTCGAGTAATCTCTAAACCGCTTTTAATAAGCTTCATTAAAACTTTATTTCTCTGAAAACTGTGATTTAGGTAAAGTTTAGTTTAGTTCAGTTGTGTATAATAATTAAAGTACTTAATGATAAAATCCTCTGCCTCGTTATGCAACAAAACTAAGAAAATTTATGTGTATGTTCTCTATGTGTATGTTTTTTGACATATTTAGTGGAGACGAGGGCGGTTTGAGCGCAAAAACATGCAGATCAACTTTCTGAAACACTGGGTAATATTGTTGAAGTTTGGACAATTTGATGTTTCTGATGCTGGTTTAGAAGGGAATAATGTCACCTGTTACAGAAATGGATAGCTTGAATTAGAATTAATCGAATAGGAAAAAGCTGCTCAGCTGTTTGCAGATTACTTAGGTAAAGTTGTTACCGGTCAAACCGCGATTAAAAAGTCAATAATAAAATTTGAGGAAGTGAGACAGTAAATGGGTAACTAAAACAAAAAAAATAGAAAGAGAGGGTTGGTCGGTGGCTAAAATCTAGAAACAGGACTTCGTGTGAAGGGTTGCCGACTAGCTTCCAATGCGGAGAGGAGTGTGGATCAATTAAATAATTAAATATAGAGCGCCACCTGCTTTTCCCTGCAGTACACGAAGTCAACCGATATAACGAAAGCAGGAAACTTCTACGCAGCACAACCTGAAATATAAAAGTAAACAAAAAGGAAGGGCAGAAGTGAAACGCTTTGCTACAATCAGGGGTGCGATTTTCGAAACCATTCGAGTACATTTCGTACACGAAATTTGATTGACAGCAATGTAAATTAAATGGGGAGCAGTCAAATTTCGTGTACGAAATGTACTCGAATGGTTTCGAAAATCGCACCCCAGGTACGGGTTTGCAATTAGAACCAGAACAGGTTTGACTCTAGAGTAGGTTCGGAGTGGGTTTTCCGAACGCCCTGGAACACTGAAAATTATTAACACTGAAACCAGAACAAGAACAAAATAAATCGACTAGGAGTACCTAACCTTACGTTCTAAAAATAGTATTTACAATAAATTACACTCAACTTGAGTCCATAAATAACGAAGTGAAGAGTATTGTATAACACATAACAGCAATAATAGAGACTTTTTGCACCTCTTATTTTGCCATTCCGCTGTGGTTATCGTTATAATGAGTATGCGCAGTAGCTAAAAAATGTTCGTTGTACTTATCAACCACAACGAGCGGCGTTATTTAAGGAGGAATAACCTTGTGCTTATAGCTATACCTGTAGTTATGGCAAAACTGTATGGGTGCCACATTAAAAAAAAAAAATAGAATAGATGTCATCCTGTTTTGATAAATAATTGATCAAAATCATCTGAAATTCTGAAAAAATAAGTGTAGATTATCATTTTGATGTTATGAAATTGGTTCACATCCGAAGGCGCAGGCGCAGTTCATGGCCCAGAGGCAAAATAGAAATAACGGAAATATGTAAACGTTTGGCGATGCAAAATCTCTGATTTTGAAGGTCGTGGTAATCGTTATCGCCGATAAAGGTAAACATAACTGACCCAAAAACTGCTGTTATTTTAAGGGATGCCAAAAGTCTCTAATACCTGAAATATAAATTAATAGAAAAACTTACTAAATGCAGTACCTTCGTAAATAGCCATTTAACCCCAGTGTACAGGGTGGCCCGTTTAAGAGGGGCCTATACCTTATCTCGAAATCTACTACTGTGAAAAAAATTTAAATACAAAAGTTGTTTCTAATAAAATTATCTACAACTTTTTTGTATTTTTTTTTGGTGTCACTCTACTATATACAGGGTGAACAAATGAAATTTATTTTTTTTAAATAGAACACCCTATATTTTAATACATTTTTAAATAGCTCTTTGAAAGACAAATTCAACGGTATACTGGGCATGTGTCTGTGATATACCGTTTCGAACTTATTAGCAACTATCTTCAGGATTTGGCGTAATTTTCAACAGTCATTGTTACGTTACTCATAAACTTTTTAAACTTTTTTTTGCATGATATTTTCTATAAAATAATGCGCTTCTTCAGATTATAGTCAAATTTGAAATATTTGTTCAAAAAACCCGGTGTTGCCACGTTTTTCAAGCCGAAACGGTGCATCACAGACCCATTTCTAGTATATCGTTGAATTTGTCTTTAAACGGCTATCCAAAAACTAGGAGGTCCCATTTGAAAGAATTGAAAAATTTAACATTTTGCAAAACGTGGCAACACCGCGTTTTTTAAACAAATATTTCAAATTTGACCATAATCTAAAGATGAGCATTATTTTATAGAAAATATCATGCAAAAAAAAGTTTAAAAAGTTTATGAGTAACGCAATAATGACTGTTTAAAATTACGCCAAATCCTGAAGATAGTCGCTAATAAGTTCGAAACGGTATATCACAGACACATGACCAGTATACCGTTGAATAGCTATTTAAAAATGTATTGAAATATAGGGTGTTCCATTTAAAAAAATGAAATTTCCTTTGTTCACCCTGTATATAGTAGAGTGACACAAAAAAAAATACAAAAAAGTTGTAGATAATTTTATTAGAAAAAACTTTTGTATTTACATTTTTTTCACAGCCCTTGTAGATTTCGAGATAAGGTATAGGCCCCTCTTAAACGGGCCACCCTGTACAAGTATTTTCCTGTATTCAGTGCAGTATGTATTTATGAGATATTAGAGAGATATAGATCATTAATTGAAGTTGAAGTAACTATACGTAACCTGAAGGGCTTTATTATTGTAATAGATAACTGCGTCGCTGTGGTGATTTATTCCAACAAGGAGTTGGTAAGGTTTGATAGGTTCCAGATATTGAGACATTACAACACATTTATCAAACCTGAGTAGTCCCTAATCCCTTGAGGGGAACCTGGAGGATTGGATTGATATCTTCCAGTGTTTCCGATGGCCTGGGACTGGATCAGGGTCGTGACATAACAACTGGCCCTGGGCACTAAAGTTCAGTAACTAGAAGTCACTAAAGTTTCCAATTGTCTAGCGGAGGCTGGAGACAGGAGGTACGACTTGAAATATACAGTAAGCTTAACGTTTAACTCTTTACTCAAAGTTAAAGACTATAGAGTGACGACTAAAGGCCTGAAACAAATGGACGTTATGAGACTGGGCGTGGAGCGATAGGTAGGTATGTCCAATATTCGGAATTTAACCATATAATTAACAGAAAACTATACTTATACATAGGCAATAGAGAAACACAGAGAAGACTAATAAGAAAAACCACTTACCAAAATACTTTGGCCTTCAGGAACAAACAATTGATCACGTTGCTCTTTTTCGGCTCACAAAGAAATCCGCGCAAGGCGCTTTGGTGCTAAAATAATGGATTAGCCACCCTATAGGTCTATGAGCGAAAACCTGACAACTCAGAAATCGGCAAAATGTGCCTGAGGAATTTTCCCGTATACTTAATCGTGGAAAGTCCTCGACCTGAATGACCTCTGCTTGTCCCTTCAATGTCCTTTAAAAAGGTTGTGTCAAAAGTCCAAGGTGAAAGGTTCTGGGCATAGGTTCTGGGGAATTTTGATGGTAGATGGGCATGGGACTTATTTAAATTAAGTTGGTACCGGTAATTGACCTTATTCGGAGCGCTGTCAATCAAGTCATCAATTCCATTATTCAACCTCTAACTCGATGATCGAAAAGTTTGACGAAAAGTGTGGCCACAATTATTGGAAAGAAAACAGTGGCTTGACGAAGGTATGCTATTCAGTGAGGCGAATACGCTTATTTCCTTTTATTTTGGCCCAGGAGAAATCATCCCGTAACAAAGTATGTTCTAGCGTGCCGACCATGTGCGGACGAACCCCCATAATAATCTCAACTCAGAAATACCTTCAACTACTCAATGTCTATTTCTAATATTCATTCAGAGTTGAAATTAAACGGATATTATTGACAGAAACAAAAGTGTATAGGGTTTATGAAGAGAACAAACAAACAGAAACACCAGACACCATTTTACCTCAAATAAATAAATATTTATTTATTTATAACAATTTTTAAAAAACGAAACATTAATTTACTAAAAACTTAACAATAGTGTCTTAAAAACAACTTGAAGATAATTTATATAATTTAACCTAAAAGTATATATTTACATTTTCTATTTACAATGTAATTTTTTCTATTAAAAAATATAATAATTGTTGAGTATTAACAAAAACCCTGGTCCAAAGGTAAAATCGAAAACTTGATAGCAACAATTTCATGCTTCATCGCGATTGTGATCTTTTTCCAAAAGAACAATATAATTCAAATGTCACTCAGTTTTACAAAAATGTAAACAGATTGTGTATGTTTTCAAGTACATATTTCAAGTAATACCTATTTTGTTTTATTATCTATTTTTTTGGCACTTGAATAAATGAATTAATATTTAGATAGCTACCTAGTAGGTACATCAAAGCAAAAGTTTAAATGGAATTAGGTATCAGAACCAACAATATTATCAATCTATAAAATGATAAGTTTAAAACTATGACTAGTAAATCCAGTAAACATACCTATAGGTACAGTCCAAGAAATTTGAAGGACATAATTATTCTTCTTATTAGAATATAATTAAAATTCTCTATTACATCAAAAGGTGCATTTGGTTTGCTAAAACGTGCCCCCAATTGGGTGGTTTTTTGCCAACATCCAGAGGATAAAAATTGCCTATTAAACAAATACTTCTCATGCGACAATAAGCCACCCCCCTGGGGACTCACCTTAAGACACCTAATATGGCACAACGTATTCTTTGATTTCTTGAATCGAGACCTGAAACTTTTACTTGTGTTTGAAAAACACCATTTCAGACAGACAAGCTAACACGATACAAATAGTGTACACAGTCACCAGCACAAATCCAGTAATTTTTGATAATCTGAATTTGTTAAAGAATAATGTCAAATAAAGGATAATGGCCACGACTATCAAGGCCATTATTGTATACACAATCGATCCTGATTCGATTTTTATGAAGGCATTATTATTGGTACCCATCAATATGGTTTTGAAGAACCATGGCATCCCTAGGGAGAAGAGGATGTTCATGGTGTTGGCACCTAAGGAATTGGAGACACCCATTTTACCTTCACCTAAAATTTGAAAAAAAGAATTAGATATTAGAGAGATATTGCAGGTGCTTGCCTTATTTTGACCTTATCTGTTATTGTTTTGTATATATTATATGTAATTTTTGATTTTTGTAGTAAACAACGGAACATTGATCAATTTAATTTGGAGTCGCATGCTCGATAACAAGATATATACTGTTCTGATTACTATTTCTCACCTCTTCGCGACATAATAGCAATGGACAACGACTCTGGTAATGAACCTCCAGCTGCTACAAATGTCATTCCTTGGACGGTTGCAGGAATTCCCAAGACACCCCCTAAAAGTAAAAAAATATTATAAACTACACAGAGAAATTTATTTATTTATTTATTATGAAGTTAATACGGCCGAGGTAAAATCTATAGGCTCATTTTTGCACCAACGATTGCACAGTTGAAATTAAGTCGGTCTATCAAGCTTATTTTTGAACACTGACACTGGAGTGGTATTGGCAGTAGTGGATGGTAGTTGGTTCCAGTGAGTAAGCACTTGGTTTGATGAAAATTTCTGGATTTTCTCTGCACAGCTTAGGTTGCTCTTATCTCTTATCAGGGGCCCGATTCTCGTCTCAGGGAGTAGAGCTTCCCGATAGAACAAATGTTTTGTCTTTGTCAATGTAAGCGAAAAGTCAACGAGAATGATAAAGACGAAGAATTTGTTCTCTCGGGAAGCTCTAGTCCCTGAGACGAGAATCGGGCCCCAGATCAGGGTTCCACACCTGACCTGAATATTTAAGTATTGAAGAGGAATGAAGTTTTGTCGGTTACAACAACCGAAAACGGTGAAAATGGAAAATGGAAAGAAAGTTAAGGAAAATTGGAGGGTTGAAATATTTTTGGTCCTGGGCACACCAATGAAAAATCAAAAAGATCTGTGGTGTCATGGTGGCTTAGTTGGTTAGAGCGTAGCACTGGCATTGCTGAGAACGCGGGTTCGAAGTGGAGTTTTTTGGAACTTTTCCCCACAAAGAGGGCGCTGCGCGCTCGGCACTCCATACCTCGCATCATCTCCTATTTTTTGAGCGGGCCAGTATAGTGGCCCAACGTGCGCCATCCGTGGTATTTACCAACGACCGAAAAGGTCACATAAGAACTTTAAAGGGCAACCAGGAACCGTTGAGAAAAGATCTAATGAGAAGAGGATAGGATAGTGGTTTGTCGGCAAAGCTAAAGATAGTGTCACACAGCACGCTAGGCGCGCATGTGGCACGCAGTGTGCTGCGCACACTGAGTTTTAGTTGTAAGTCATGTCCTTAGATTAAGTATTTGTTATGTGTATATTGTTTGAGGGGGGCCTCACTCTCCTACCTATGTATTGTAATATTTTAATTGAAAAATAAAAAGATTTTGAGTTTGAGGTTCGAATCCCGCCCAGGACCCCCCGGTAAAAATTTTGAAATTTGAACATGCTTATTTTGTTCTCCGAGTTTTGCTCCATAATCGGCGAGTTTTGCTCCATTACCAGGAGAGACCTACAGAGCTCACCGGGGAAAGCTAGGAGAGATTTTTGGGAGCTCTGTAGGTCTCTCCTGGTAATGGAGCAAAACTCGCCGATTATGGAGCAAAACTTGGAGAACAAAATGAGCATGTTCAAATTTCTGAATTTTCACTGGGGGGGGGGGGGGGGGGCTAGCGTTAATTCAGCCCCCACCTTATAGGCCACATAGTCTCTCCACTGTAATGGAGCAAAAATCGAAATTACTGGAGCAAAATGAGAGCAAAATTATGGGATAATTGTCATCCAGAAATTTTCTATGGGGTGGGCTAACTTAACTGACCCCACAATGCCATTGATGGAGTAATCTGTTTCTGATTTGTTCTTTCCAAGGTGCAATACGACGCACTTGCTTAGGGGAAGTTGCCAGTCCTCACTCCACTCATAGTCATAAATCAAGTTAGTGGAGAGTGGCTGAGTCAGGGGCAGGACTGTAGATCTTTATGCCATCAGCATAGCTGGCGCACGAGGATTTTATAGGGTCAAGTAGATCCAGCGAGTACAATACATAGAGCAGTGGTGCATGCACACTGTGGCACTCCGCTTAGCACTGGGTGTGACTCGGAAAGAGAGTCAGCAACTCTGACTTGGAACTGTCTGTCTGAGACATAATCCCTGCCACAGGTCCAGCAAGTTACCCCTCATTCCAAACTGCTGCAATTTTATTACGATTCCCCGTGCAGGCACCCTGTCGAACGCTTTGGCAAAATCAAGTTAGATGACATCTACTGGCATTTTCCGGTCTAGAAGCCTGGTCCAGTCATTGAGACTAATTGAGACTTACCAGGAGACATGTAGTTGTACTGCGTTTTAAAATGAAGTCATTTGGGTGTGCGGGAATCAGCTGTTCTGCAGTTGCAAAGTCTCTGACGTGGTCTACTATTATGGATTTTATCATTTTGTCTATAGTGTGACTGATGCCTCATCCAATCAGTTGGAAGTCTGGTTTGCTGGAAGGATATGTTCAATATTTTTGCTAGGGGGTGCAGAAAGTTTTCTAAACATTTTTTGGGCATCAGAGTGGACACATCGTCTATTCCAGGAGAGTCAGCTGCCAGTTGTTTTCAAAAATTGATGTTTTTTTTATCTCTGGTGATTCCTGGTGGTATAGATTTGAAGGGTAGTCGAAATGGGTCCTCCTTCATGAAGACCTTTGAAAACTCATTGGCAAGCATTGTGGCTTTTTCTCTATTATCTGTGCAAGTATCCCATTGACAGTTTTCAGGGTAGGTGTACCCACTTCTGTTTTTAAATTTCATCCTATATATTTGTGCAGCTTTCTGGAATTTTCAAACCTTGTTAACTGCTGAGACATACCAGCTTTGCCTGCTTTATTCACTGTGTTAGGATATTTGATGTACTGTCAGTGCGATTTTATGTTTGAATGATTTTTTTTCGAAAGTGCCTTCTTCTTCGTCTGATTTTTTGCCTTGAGGTTTCAGCACCTGCATTTGCCAATGTTGCTTCGAGTGTGAGTTTTAGTACCTCATGATCAGATTTTCCTATGGAAGAGAGATGTTCATACCTATTTTGTTACGGGGTTTCTGTCTTTGAATATTATAGGGTCAAGTAATGAGGGGTTTTGCCCCTTTCTGTATCAAGTGGGTTTAGTCACAAGCTGATGTAGGTACTCATTTAATAGAGTCTCGCTCAATATGGCAGCTCCATCCCTTAATGCACACAGATCTGTAATTTGTGATGAGATTTTGGGATTACTAAACGTGTTCGTGAAGAGAAGTGTATCATCTTCTATAGAGGATCTCGTTGGACGCGGGACGGCGAGACACACAGTACAGAAGAAAACCCTGGTGAGGTCAGAAGTAGGACCAGAATGTCAGTGCCACCGCAGTTATCGGGTATTTCTACTACATTATAGCTGTTCAAGATATGTTGACTAAGATAAAAGCATACTCCACCGATGCGGTGTGTCAGTCTTTCTGATCTGTATATATTTTAGTTACGGATATCAATTAGTGAGTTGGTTATTGTGTCTCAAGCTAAGTTTCTAAGATCATAAAGATATCTGGAGTGTTGTTTTGGGTGAAGACGGTGAGATCATCATACTTTGCACAAAATGAAGCAATGTTGGTGTAAAAATAGACAGAAAGACCAAGCTGCTTAGTTTTTTGATGTGTCACCTGAGTTTATAGGTAGGATTGTTCGTGTTCGTTTTATGTATTTTATTGTGAGATGCACATTTTCATTTTCGTTGCGCCGCTTCAGATTTTCTCTGAGCAACCATCTGATGTCTGCACTTCCTTATGTAACTGGTTATCATAACCAATCCAAAATGAAACATTAAACCATTGATTTGATTAAGTATTTTTGAAATAATGCAAAAGTCCTACTTACCAACGATAGTTATCATCCAGGACACCATATAAGAATTACCACCGATCCAGAAAATGCACAAAATAAACGTCACAAACCACAATTTTGGGTGTACTTTGGGATTAGGCATGGTACAGCGTAGTGCCATCTTTATGGGCCAAGTATAGAAAAATATGAATTTCGTAAACCAACCTCCTTCCGGTATCCTAAACGGACTCTTTTTGATTGCTAAAAATAACAAAATTCATTACATATCGATTTTTTTTCAATTAAATGTCTCACCTTCTATTTCATTTTGTTCCTCTGCCTCTCTGGCTTTTCTAAATTCGTCTGGATGTTCAAAAGCAGACTTTCGAATATTTTCCGAATAGGTACCAAAAGCTGAAGCAACTGAAGCCCTTACAGAATCTCGATTAAATTCGTGCTCGTGGATTTCTAGAGTTTTACCATTATCAACTGAATATTCAAAACGAAAAAATAAAATAGAAATCATTAAGCGCATTACAGATTTTTACCTGTATCAACCGAAGACCGATTTTTATACTTATCCACTTGTCGTCTAACGAATCTTGATATTCTAGGATTTTGAAACATAACGATGAAATAGAGGAAATATAAGATAAATAACGTCAGGCCTTCGTACCAGTAAATGTAGCTGTCCCACACTATGATTACCAAAGTGGATATGGCCATCATGTAGATGCAGACGTCCCTGGTTACAGGAAACCAATCTAGTTGAATTGGCTAAAAAAAAAAGACAGATAATCAAAATTGTAACTTGAATAATATATTACATTTTACATTATTACCAAATAGATACTGAAAAATTTATAGTAGTTTTCTATTCTGTGAAAATTCATCTTTTATTAGGAACCTTTTCTTCCATTTTTTCATTTAGGTACTTCACAATTTAGGAGGTAGTAGGTACCTATCTAATTATGACCGATATTATGTATTTTATAAATTAATTCGCTTGATAACCACGTAATATTAAAACAATAGTAATTCCAATCAAGAAACTCGTGTAGACACCTATTATTTTTTATTGACAAATTAATCCTGTGTTAATATTGTGATAATAAAATACAAAATAGGTATTATTATTTCTTGACAGACGTTTCAACAGAAGTTAAGAATACTTACCCATGATTTATAATCTTATTTCGCATCGCAAAAATCATGGATATACTTACATATTGAATCCGTCAGAAGAAGAGAAACAGTTTTTTTACCCTTATCTAAGTGCCTCTTTTAACACAAGACTAAACAAACTTTTCGTCGAAAATACTCTATTTTAGATTTCTTGTTAGAGTTCAGATTAGCAAAAATCAGTTGAGAAATTGTTTCGACTTTCTCGTTTCGTCCAAACACAAAGACCAGAAACATTTTCTAGCGGAAGTGCTCTTATTTAATTTTCCAAGGAAGTTTTTCTCGAGTTTATAATAACGGAAGTTGAACGAAGCGATGAGGATATTAAGCTGATAAAAACAGATATTTATTTATGTGGGTTATCTGAGCTTGCTTTTACCGATATCCACTATTTGATTTAATGGAGAATACTTTTCTTTATATTTTTGTTATCAGTGTTACTTATTATATTAGATATTAGCAGTTGGTCAGGATGATCAAGTTGGAATTCCGCTAATGACTGACACGTATTGTCACATTATTTTTAATCTCAATATATTTAGAAATTTGAATAGAAGCATTCATTGACTTTTATTGGGGATAAAATTTCTTTTGTTATCATCAGAAGTGGGATTGTTCTCCGTGCATTGTAAATAATATTAAATAAAGTCAGTACAGTGGTGTTAGTGAAGAATGGAGGAACAAAATCAGCTTCGTCGTGACAGTGAGTCACCTGAGTATAGTGATCCCGAAAAGAGTGCGTATTCCATCGAAGAATGGCTGAATGATGCAAAAAACCTCAAGGACGAGTTGAATGTAAGCGATAACCTAATGATAGCAAAGGCAAGTGAAGCTTTGAAGAATCACGCATATCGTTATTATTGCGATTGGAGACCTCTATGTCGAAGTTGGACAAATTTTTGTGCTGATCTCATCGTTGCGTTTCCCGATCAAGAAACGCCGGGCGCTCATACTTTCAAGGCTGCTACAATGAGAAGTCATGAGTGTGAATATGGCAATCAAAAACTATGTAGCATCAGCTGGTTCCATAATACATTGTCGTGGAATAAAGTTTTAAGTATAGTCGAGTTCAAATTAGATCATACGGAAGCACGTGCTGCCATACAGATTCAAAAACCGGAATCAAAACGTGAGCTACTGAAATTATTGAGTGACATTGAAAAATTGAAACATCGGAACATCAGATATGACCGACCAACAAGTGAAATTTTCAAGGGAACATGTTTTAGATGTGGCAGTCATGGTCACCAACAAGGTGTATGTCCTACCATACGGAAAAATGATTCTTCACACCAGGAAAATAATGAGAATCATAAGAAAGCTACTTCTGCTAATATTCCGACTTGCAGTCATTGCAAAAAATTGAGTCACACTAAGCCGAATTGTTGGTTTAAACATGGAAAACCCAAGAAAGCATATGTAATGAAAAAATAACGCCATAGAATGTGACACCAATAACGACATTAGTATGCGATAACCAGGCTTTATCATTCGCATATCTCATCGATAATGGCGCCGATTTATCGATTATAAAGCACTCTGTTGTCAAGAAATTAAATGATGTGATTAGGCCAAATGAAGACGTTAAGTCGCATACTGGACGTCCGACAGGATTGTGGCAACATGGTGAAAACGCTGATGATATACAACACACTTGGCATATCTACTACCACTAGTAAAATCCCAAGGATGCACTCAAATTTTGGTTATAATTGACTCATTTTCCAAATTTTGCCGTTTCCAAACAATTCCAAAGAAAACTTCTGAAGATTCGATACGTGCATTGTTGCAAGTTTTTGAAGAGTTAGGAATTCCAAAACGTATTGTAGCTGATAGAGTAGCTGCATCATATTGCAACTGTAGTTCCACGTGGAAATGGACAAGTTAAGCGGGTAATGCGTACTCTTTTTAACTTACTACGAGCTACGCTCACAGACAAGAAAGAAAATACATGAACAACTGTATTACCTGCAGTAGAAAACAATTTGAATTCTACAGTTCACTCTATAACTGATTATGCACTGACAGTATTGCAACTAGGATAAAATCCTAGGCTAGCGGCTACTCAGCAGTTTTTGAGAGATGTGTAGGTGACCGATAACTTCATCGATCCAGACAAAGCTGTAGCAGAAACACAAGGCCGAATAACAAACAATGCAAATAAGCGAGCTCAGCATTTTGACGCGACTCGTTATAGTTCAAATTTATTTAATGTAGGAGATTTTGTAGCAGTCGCAGACTCTCGGCTGGCTGGAAAATTGAATGAGCGATATGTTTTACAGAAGTAAGGAAGGCGACGAACGATTGTTGTTGCTCATGAACAGTTAAGGTCGTGGCCTGCCATTGAGTGAATAAACAGTGTACTGAGGAAAACCACCTAATTAAAATATTATTTCTTCAAACCTTAACTTTTCAAAAAAAAACGTTTCTGAATAAAAATAAATGTTGCAACCATGTAATACGCCGTCAAGAGACAGAAGAGAATAGGCAACTAGACTACAGAAGAAACTGGGACTGGGTCCCTTCGACGCGTGTCGCGTGTCTGTAATTATTCATTATTCAATTTTCATTTCTATTTTGCAATAAAATTGATTGTTCAATCCAATTTGTTATTAGTGTGTGTGTAAGGAGCGTTCACAGGTTGGTGGATTAAATGTTATTTTGTTTTTGAGAGTTCAATTTATGCAAGTCCCTATTATTGTGTTCATTTTTATGTATTTTTTGTTTGTTTATAACATTTTTTATAACATGTGCATTGTTCATGTATTTAACCAAAAAACCTAAGAAATTATGTGCTGTCTTTTTGTGCTGAGATTTTGATTTTGTGGATTTAGAGCGTGCATTAGAGCTTTGTTGAATTTACTAACATTTTCCTACCCTGACGAGAGAATATCCTAACAAATTGAAATAGTCAATCTAGAGATATTGGCTCAAAAACAACTATAGCTGAGTAGCTTCCCGCATGGGACCTCAGTATCCGCTGGGAAACTGGCTAACTAACAAAAAAACTCTTCAGTATTGAATATAGGTAGTGTTGATTGAATGTTGAGTGTGTAATTGAAATTTTAGCACAAGAACAAGACCTAATTTGAACTTTTACTGAATTAAATTATTGAATTATTGACTCACAATTATTATTTAAAATGACACGGTATGTTTCGATTTTTGAGGAATGTTAGATCGAGGGTTTCTCTGCCGTTCTTTGTCCCCTTGAGAATTCTAGGACGAGAACGGTACGATTTACTTTAATAATAAAGTAGACGTTTCACAAATTTTTCGTTTCTTTTACATATCACAACTTCCCTTAAATTTCCCTATTATTTGCTATGTCGGGCGCATGTCCAGTAAGTAAAATTGAGTAAGTTTCCACAACGTAGGTCCTATTTGTTTTTCATTTCATTTTTCAGAAAATTTGTTGTTTAAAAGGTAATAAAAATTCTCATCGTTCAATCTTACTGAGCGAACCCGGTTATGTTATACTACAGTACGTATAGTCCGACAAATACCATTTTAAAATTACGTGATATTGGTGGCAAAAAACGTATGTCCATTGATTATGTCGTTGATATCACCTACAAAAAGCTTCTAGTGGTTAATTACTATTGAATTTTAAGTTATGTTCCCAATAGCATTTTACAAACGCGTTTCTGAAGTAGTATTGACCAATCAGATGGGAATTTTAATACTTGCAATTGTTGTGAGACTCACTTTTGTCGCATCTGCTGTCCATTGTAATACATTCTGAACTTGAATTGGGTACCCGATTTCTATTTGCTTCTTTTCGAGTTGGAAAAAGGTTAATTTAGTCAAAATTATTAGCTGTGTTTGTTCGTTGTATCATTTTCCAAAATTTCTTTGACAAACTAATTGATGACAGTGACGGATTCTATTTCAGGTAAGAATATTATGAACAATAATTAGACACCAATTTTTTTGTCAATTTTGCTATCACCGCTGTTTGAGATGTATTCAAAATGGTATTTGTTGGACTATACTTATCGAATGTAATACCACAAGAGGTTTCAGGATTACCGGATAATACTTTTACCTGTCACGAAACGCGTTACGCAGAAACACCACGACTCCGAAGGAGGAGTGGTGTTGCTGGTAACGCGTTGAGTGTCAGGTAAAAGTATTAGGTAATCCTGAAACATCGAGTGGTATTCAAAAGGTTATACAACGAACTAAACTTTAATACTTCAAAATTTAAACAAAATTCTATAATAGAAATTTGCTATAAATGCCACCAAGCGCGATAATCCCAAGGCTTATCACTTCTTAAGCCTCTCGTGTCATATGGAAATAATGTACAGTGAGTTGTATAACCTGCTTAATTTTATTATTGCTAACTCAATGTTGAAAAAATGTGTAGGTAATCCATGTTGTATTATTAGTTAACAAAAGATATCAATAAAAAAAGAAGGATAGTGGCAGTACCACTATACCTGAAGAGGTGCAAGTACCACCTAGATAATCAAATTTAAAAAAAGGATGGTGGCAGTACCACCTAGATAATTAAATTCAAAAAGAAGGATAGTGGCAGTACCACCGTACCTGTTAAACTTAATATTAAAAATGAATAGTGGCAGTACCACATGCTGACATTGTGGAAGTGTACCATGCGACAAAAAAAAAATGTGTTAAATAACATGGCAGATCCACATGGATAAAAATGAAAAAAAAAAAAAAAAATTGGCAGCACCACTATATTGGACATATGGGTGCTCGTTCTTTCATATGTTGCGTTTCACTCTAGAGTCTAGATTGTTCATGATTCACAAAATCAACAAGAATAGTCATGACAGAAGTTCTGTTTTCTGTTCCGTAATTTTTCAATTCTAGCTGACAAAGAAAAAACAGACTGTGTGAAGACATCATGATAAGATTCGAGGCGAGGACGCCCCGATCTCAGGATGGCCATGTTATCAGTGTTACTTATTATATTAGATATTGGGTATCTAATTTTCATCCTAATGACAAATTTCCCCTACTTATTCCAAACTGTTCAGTTGGATTATCCAAGAATTGTTTTTAGTTAAATAATTGTTGTAAGGATGATTATCCTAGGTATCAAAAGAGACTTTTTTGATAATGATTTCCACTAAACGATTCTTGAGCAATTGCACTTTCCGTTGGCGAACTCAGTGTTTTGATCCTTACCCTTATAGCAGCCAAAGATCCAATAGAAGCCACTCCCAGGGAATTGAACATAGACGATCCGACGATAGTTCCTATTCCCAATTCTGAATTGATTACAAACGTTGATATTATATTCGTGAATAATTCTGGACATGATGTGGCCACTGACATGAAGGTGGCAGCGCCTACATCCTAGAAAAAACGTTATATCTGTAAATCTTAGAATAACATTTTCGTAAAATATATGTTAAGACTTGCAAAATATTAAATTTAAATTTAATCTCTAGGAATCTCATCTCAATGCACCAATTTGGTTAAGCTTGAGGAAGGGTCATTTATACTTTTTAATCCAAAACATATTTGGGAAATTAGGTCTACCCGCTCTTTTTCTTATAATAAAAGGAGTAAAGGCGAATACATAGCATTGCAACTTAAAATCAAAAATCCATTTTTACACTAGCTTTAGAAATAATTCTGAACAAATAAATTTGCTAACCCTTGTTGACTATAAGCTAGATAGGTACCTACTTACTGCAGAAATATTTAGCACTTCACATAATCTCTCGATTGACGGTAAAAAGTACTTGTCGCAGACAACGGCCAAAAGGGTAAAGCAGTAGATGGCCACAAGCAAGCAAAGCACTACACCACCATTCTTCAGCTGTTCGTCCGTGAGAAACGGTGGAAAGTCGTCATCATCTGAGTCATTACTGGCTCCATTGTCTTCAGTGAGATTCGCTAACGAATTGTTCATTGGGTGCGGAATGACGAAGGGGATGAAACTGAAAAAAAAAATTGTATTTCTGGGGATCAAATGTATTACCATTGCACATCAAATGTTGACTTTACCAATGTGAGAGTGGAAATTGGTCTAAAAGCATAGATATGGCTCATGTTGCGTTAGTACTAGTGAAATTGGTTGAGAGCATAGGGTGAGAAGAAGCATTAGTTCAGAAAGAAACATGTTTGTGGCACGACTGAATGAAATAATGAAGCAGAAGAAGGAAGGAAAACTTATTTGGTAGTCACTTGGCAAGACCACACAAATGCGCTAATCTGGCATGGAAACAGTCAGTCAGAATGAGAGAGACTCCTTGCAACATACGAAAGTGATGGAGTATACGAGGAGATCGAAAGAAGGTATTCACGGAGTTCCAATTCTGGCTCGACATTTTTACCGACAAGAATTTATGACATGGATATGGGGAAGGGAACTTACGGACAGGAATTGACCGATAAATATTTCTCTTGTGTTTTCATCTCGTATAGGTCGGTGAAAGGGATTGAAAGAAGGTGGGAGGAAGCGTGAGAAATGAAATATAAATAAGGTCGAATACAACCTAAAAGACCAAATAAGTGAGGAGATCGGTAATGAGAATAAGCAAGGAAAACTGCTAGCGGATGATGAGAAAGAATATCTGGAGATAAAAGAGTAGAATCGCAGATTGTAGTTCCAAAGAATCCCTCCCTAAGTACTTTTGGAACCTGCATATTCTAAGCATGTTAAAAAAATATCCATTACGTTTTAGGAGTGGATGGGTTATGTGGATGAAAGGTTGGCCAAAGAATGTTTCTGCTAAGAATAAACAAATCGTACAGGACAGTAACTATCGAAAGAGTAAATTTGGTGAAGTTGGAGAACTGGTGATTTAGGTTATTGACATAGAAAATTAAACTTGGAATCAATAGCAATAATATCTTTTTTCCTCGGTCTTCAGACCACATGATTTGCACTGTTGAATCGCTATTGGATGAGGTTAGCTGGAATGGATACGGGATTTATAATTTCAGAATTCTTACCTCCTATGTCTATAAGTCCTATTGAACAAATACATAGATGTTGGTCCATTTTCACTACTATCCGAGCTGCCGATAGCTTCGACTTTCTGTGCGGTTTTGGAAATTCCTGCAACGAAACACATAGAGATTAAATATCAAAACAATAACATTGTAAAAAGATCAGACAATCAAATATATACACGTTTACCGAGAAGTATTTGTTCCTAAAATACTGCCTAGAGAAAATCTCAGGTATTTTCCTATTGTCAATAAATATCTACACATTGCATTTTATTATTGTCGGTATGATTTTATTAGTTTTGTTGCGAAAAATCCATATTGTTTTTATTGCTTCTCGGATAATTGACTATTATGCTAATTTAGACGATAAACTGAGGATCAAATGAAATGAGGATTATTATGGATTAAGTTAAAAAGGACATAAATCATAGGAAAAACCCATAAACCATTTTAGTGCTGCCTTTTATTTTAAAAATTGCGACAAATGTTATCCAATTTCATGACATTTGGTTTATGCCTTCATCAAAGTCGAGTATTGATTGACAAGTACCTCAATAAAAGGCCTAAAGAAAATTTATTGGGGTTAGTTTTTTTTTATCCGGTAGTTTTGTCTGATTATTCAGCTTGGTTTCTATGAATTGAAGATGGATAATAGCATATTCTTCAACGAGCATATACCTAATAATAGCCATTATTTGCGGGTAGAAGACTATACTTTATCTTCGAACTTTTTGAAAGAAAATCATTAGTTTTTGTAAGAAATAACAATCATCAAAAGTCTTATTTTTTCTAAGGCCGCCGTAAATGGCAAACTGTGATTGGTTGATTTTTCGAAACTTATTTTAAGGTCTTTAAAAAAAACGGCACATCAGAATTAGCTCAAATTTGGCATAATAGTTATTTATGATATAAGTGTTAAAAGTACATTTTTAAGGCACGCATGTGAAAGTTTGCAGAATGAGCGAAGCGAATTCTGCAATTCACATAAGTGCCTTAAAAATACTTTTAACACAAATATCATACAATATTTTTTCTACAAACGGCAATAACAAGCAATAACCAGTGACAAATTGGATTTTTAAATGAATAATAAATTGGAAGCATCTTTCCTACGTAAAATTATTGAATTTGATATTTGTCAAAAAATTCAAACAACCAGCACCTTGTTTTACAGGTAATGAAATGTCTCGTCAGTTTCTTGAAAGTCTGTCGTATGGTCTATCGTGGTCAGTAAGCTTTTTGCTAAAAATGCAACGAAATACACAAGAAAAAGAGGGTTGCATCAATCCCTTGAAAAATATAGAGGAGGCGGCCGATGGAGCTTCCTCAGTTGTTCAAATTTTACCAATAATATTAATGTAAATAATTAAAAATACAAACTTTTTTTGACGTTTGCTTTCAAATTTTGATGTTTCATTTTTAACACTAGTGCCTTAAAGACTTTTAACACTAGTGCAATAAAGTAACATTTTTAATGCTTCGAGGGGGTGTTAAAAATTGCATTTTTAACACGTTTGTAGAAAAACATTATTTGATCGATTATCTACAATTCCTTGTTTTGGTTTTTCGATATTCAGCCTTTTTTTTTAAATACAAAAATCATATTCGCAACCAGCAAAACAATTAAATGTGTTGGTGGTTGCATATTTGCATGTTTATGAAGCTTGGATCTGTGAAAAGCATATTTTATTGATTACCACGAAAAACTAACAAAAGCCAATTGTAGATAATATATCAAATAATGTTTATGCCAAAGGATTTTGGAAATTATTGCGGATTTTTTGAGATGACCTTAAAACGAATTGGTGAAAACAGTTCAAGCAATTTCAAGTAGATGGCGCCACGGCAAAAAAGCTACATTGGGAGCATCATAATTGTATATTTGTCTTCCCCTGTCACTAAGCCTTTCACCGAGAAACAGATTTAGTTTTGGACAAAAAATAAAAAATTGAACCGTATGTGTAGAGTGACGCAGTCATCATTTTCAAAAACTAAATTTAAACATGGCGGCCATTAACGCGGCCTTAAGAGGGGCGTCAGATAGGAGCCAGCGCGCCATCTTTTGGGCTTTATGTCATACATTAAACATTTTTTAATCACAGGTGTTCAAATTCTCTATAAGTGATTGACTTTTTTACAAGTAGATGGCGACATCTTCAATATCAATTCGTTAAGACAGTAATTTATAGTGGACTAATAATTTTATTCAGATGCAAATGAAATAATAGTATTTCACATTTTTAGCTAGTTTTTACTAGTTTTTACTGGCGTTTGAAAGAAGTGACTACCCATCCCGAACTCAGCGACATCTTTAAGAGTAGCGCTGAACACACGTTTGGTTTGAGTCTCTCCTAAAAATGACAGCAATCACCTGCTCGTTTCGCACTTTTGGCAGATTTTGATTAATTTTGGAATAAAAACATCATAAATTTTCGGAAATTCTGTTCTATTCATTTATTCCAGCAATTGACAATCCGAAATTTTGGAAATTTATTGTTGGTGAGCTACTCTATATGTTTATCCTTTTTTCATTTAAATCCATGACCAAAATTTGCATATTGTTGTCAACAAAACTGTCAATATTTCTACTATTTAGACTGCGTATTTTGCAACAAAAAATGGAAGAACAACTACACCAATCTATTATTGTTATGAACATAACTTCATTTTACTAAAAAGTGGTCTAAATTTGGAATTGAACAGAAATTTGTGAAGGTCTGTAAATGACATTTTATTTAAACGCCTTTCTTAAATGAAAGTTTCGTGATCTGACTAGACGGTCTGTGAGTAGACGTCAGTCATGTTTTGTTTGTATTGTCTCGTTGCTGCCCGTATATTCCGAAAATACGGAGAATTTGATTGGCCGATAGGCCGTGGATTCCGGAATTCGCATATCATTAATAAATGAATTAATGAACTTCCTGTGAATTTAAAAGTTTTATGGAAAAAAAGTAGAAATATCAATAAAGTATTAGAATAAGAGAAATAAGAATACAGAAGACTGCAAGAAACTTTAACAAGAATCCGAAGGACTTCAGAAGAAAAAACCCATAGGAAAAACGACATACAGAAGATCAAAATTTCAAATGCATAATAAAAACGAGAAATAATTATAGAGACAATCGGGCATTCTACAAATTTATTTATTTATTTATCAGGTATACACCTTGCAAACACTCAGAAAGTAATTACGTGTATGGGATGACAAAATAAAAATTGCAAACAAAACAAAAATACGCCTACATACTCACATACAACAACAATCTAACATAATCATTCTGAATAGGATTTGAACTTATTCTATGGACATATAATATAATATCACTATAGACATCCATGTTACGCACGATTCACTTTGCAATAGTACCTCTCTTAATTTCATTTACATTTGTGTTGAATATATCTATACTATTTTCTCTTAAAGTACGATTGCGATCTGACAATATCCGGTGTACAGGAGAGCAGCTTCTGGGACTAGTTGAAAATACATTGTTTTGCCTAAAGTCTTAGGTTAACCTTAGGGACATAAAATGAGATAAGGTTAATCAAGAATGAATCTTCATATTTGATGCTGTTTATTATGAGAAATATGAACATGAAAGATTGCACAGACCTTCTAGTGTATAAAATGTTAAACGTTTCCAACATATGTTTATACGATAATAATATCGGGAAGACAGGAAAGATGTTAAATTTTTTTAAGTAAAGGAATCTGAGAAATTTCTTTTGAACCCTTTCTATCAAATCAGAGCTACTCTCCGTTGTCGGTGACCAGATCACAGAGGCATACTCCAGGTGTGGTCTAACGAGAGCATTACATAACGTTAGTAGAGTACTCACATTCGTAAAATCTTTTGTATTTCCAATTAGGAAACCCAATATTCTATAGCCCTTTTTAACAATTTCATCGTAGTGGAAACTGTAGCTGAAATTTGATTGTATTGAGACTCCAAGATCCTTGCAGTGATCTCTTTTGTCCAATTCATGTTGAATTATTCTAATATACATATTTCACATTCGATTGGATTTTGACGTCTAGTAAAGGGGACAGAAAATCACTTTCCTACGTTTAGAGACATTTTGTTTTTTCCGAACCATGTAGCTACGCTGTTTAGATCTTCTTGTAGTTTAGTGCAGTCAGAGACAGAAGCGATCACTCTTAACATCTTGAAGGCGTCAGCGAACATGAGGCATTCGGTACTTTCACACAGGCAATCAGGTAAGTCATTTATAAAGACAAAGAAAAGTAAAGGGGAAATATTACTTCCCTGTGGCACTCCAGATGTCGCCATATATCCCTCTGATAGTTCTCCACCCACACGAAGATTGCATGGCCTCGATGATAGGTAGGTTTTCATTAAATTATAAGAACGTTGAGAGAAACCAGCGTTGACAAGTTTTTGCAATAAAGGATCATGGCTGACTTTGTCAAAAGCTTTTTCTGCATCAGTGAAAATAACATCCATCTGTCGATGGCTAGAGAAATGGAATTTGTGAAAATGCAGAAGTTTGTTACCGTAGATTTGCCCTCTACGAAGCCATGCTGTTGCGCGACAATTTTTTTGCCCACATGATTATTAATAAAATAACACAAAATTGTTTCAAATATTTTTGACAAGGAACTTAAAATGCATATTGGTCTATAGGTCACAACTTCATTAATATTGCCCTTATTGTGTATTGGTACAACCACCGTTTCCTTCAATCTATCTGGAAAGATACTTTTCTCTACACACAAATTATACCTACAACAGAGATAGGGGTTTGGTTGAAATATCCACACATCCCTTATATAAGTAAGAAGGAATATTATCGGACCCAACACTTTTTTTAGGTTTTAGTTTCTTATAATTAAATCATCAAAGTAAAGGCCCATGCACTCCTCCAAGGTCACCAAATATTTCAAAGTTCTTTCTTTGGAAGACTTCAGGCGCAGAATAAATGCCAAAAGGCAACCTAAGAAATCTATAACGCCCAAAAGGCGTACCTATTGTTCTATAATCCCCCACTTCTCCGTACCAGGTTGTTTGGCGTCAACTTCAAACGCGGATTGAAAAAATTGCGCGAAGGCATTTGCTACTTCAAAGTCATCAAAAAATTTCATTT